TTGTTGTTTTTTTCGATTTTTTTAGTGTGTGTCGCAAGTGCCGACGGCTCCTGTGTTCGTGCGCTGCCACGTTGCGGGACGGCCGGGGCATAGTTGGGGGGTCCCTTTCGCCGGACCCACCTGGCCAAGACCCTTTTTTATTTCCGACATGCATGCACCTGCACCCTCGGATCTTTTTAAATTTTTTTTTTCACTGCCCATGATCCCCACCCTCTCTCCCCCCCCCTCCGCCCGGCCCCCTTCCCCCTCCCCCGACGAAGTGCGGAAAGGCCCCGTGCAGCAACTGGTTCACTTTTGTGTGGAGGGCCGGTACTGCCACGGTGCGTGGGTTTTTTTTTTTTTTTTTTTTCCCCGTTCCCCTTCCCTACCCACCTTGAGGTCTGTTGTGCCACTGGTGCCGTTTCGTTTGGGTTGTTTACCGCAGGTACCTTTTTGTATAAGGCATGCACTTGCTTGGCCTAGGTCGAGCCTCTGTTTTTTTCTTTTAACTACCGGTACCTACTCCTCTTCACACCACTTTCACCTCATTCTTGTTGACGCTCCTTGGTTGTTTTTCGTTGTCTTCATCTACAGCGACGCACTTTTCACCATCTCCTTAGTCATTCGTGTTGCCATCCTCACAGTCTGTGCTTGTGCTCTGAAATCGGTCATTGACGTTCTTCAAGGCTTTGGACGTCTCCGAGAGCCGTGACATGCAGGGAGAGAGAGAGAGAGAGAGAGAGATTGCTGAAGACCTCATCGTTTTGCAGACAGAGAGTGATTGCTTGCACCTGCAGTGCTTTTAGAAAAGGTATGAAACCAATGACCTTATTTCCACCCAACCCTCCCTCCATCTTCTTCTTTTTTCTTCATCTCCTTCTTCTTCTTCTTCTTCTTCTTCTTCTTCTTCTTCTTCTTCTTTCTTCATTTCTTTCTTCCTTCCTTTTTTTCTTTCTTCCTTTGTTTGTTTGTTTGTTTGTTTCTTTCTTTCTTTCTTTCTTTGTTTCTTTCTTTTTTTTCTTTCTTTGTTTCTTTCTTATTCGCCATATTTTTGGGGAAAAAAAAAAATCGAGTTGAGGGCGGGTTGGAGGGGGGGGGGGGACGCGCGATTTTATCGGTATTTTTCGGTATTTTTCGGTATTTGTTTGCTTTTTTTCGGCTAATTTTTCTATGTTTTTTCGCTTTTTTTCCGCTGTTTTTTCGCTGATTTTTTGCCATTTTTTCGCGATTTTTTTGGTATTTTTTCGCAATTGTTTTGCTATTTTTTCGCTATTTTGTCGGCAGTTTTTTTTGCTATTTTTTCGCTTGCTTTTCGCTATTTTTTCGCTATTCTTTCTCAATTTATTCGCTGTTTTTTCGTTATTTTTCCGCTGTTTTTTCACTAAATTTTTGGTATTTTTTTGGTATTTTTTTGGTATTTTTTCGCTATTTTTTCGCTATTTTTTTGCTATTTTTTTGCTATTTTTTTCGCTGTTTTTTCGCTGTTTTTTCGCTATTTTTTCGCTATTATTTTGCTATTTTTTCGCTAGTTTTTGGAAATAATGAATTTTCGAGTGCCGCCAGATGGCGCGCGATCTGCCACGTGGCGCGCGCTGATTCGCGGGCCCCCCCCCCC